GCATATACAATATAGAGCACTATTTATTCTGTAAGAATAAGTAAAAATTGACACCATTGACTTGGTATTGTTTAAATAAATGTGAATTCAACGCTTAAATCATTTATTATTTAAATGTCATAGTACAATTTTACTGCAATATTTTCTTTAAATTTTTACACATAATACATAACATTTTATTCATTTTGAGCAAAAAGACCGACATATTCTCAAATCAGTATTATGTTCATAATTTAATGCTTCAAACGCTCTATCTCGTCTTTAATCTGCTGGTCAATCACTTTAAGCAACATCTCGATCGGACCCAACAATAGGTCAATCAACGGGTCTTTAGGATCCAATTTTTCCACCAGTGACTCAATAAATTCAACTTGCTTTTCTAGGGTGGCCAACACAACGCCCAATTCCTGTTTACCTTGTTTCGCTAACCACTCCAACACTTCCAGCGCCTCTTTCTTCAGCGCTTCCAACGCTTTCTTGATGTCATCGAGAATATCATTGGCTGTATTGACCACAGCGACTGACAGGTGCTTTAATCGCTCGATCTCGGCCTTAATCTCCTGCTCGACCACCTTTGCCAGGGTCTCGAGCTGTGCCAGCAGTAGTTGACTCAACGGGTTTTTGGGGTCGAGCTTTTCCAACTGTGACTCAATCATTTCAATTTGCTGCTCTAGGGTGGCCAGCGTTTTGCCCAATTCCTGTTTGCCCTCTCTCTTTAATTTGTCCAACAATTCCAGCGCCTCTTTCTTCAGCGCTTCCAACTCTTTCTTGAGCTGATCCAGAGGGTCGTCCTGATTGGTGAATAGCACCGACACGTGCTTTAAACGATCGATCTCGGCCTTAATCTCCTGCTCGAGTATCTTGGTCAAAGTCTGGAGTTGTTGGAGCAGGATCTTTGCCAGCGGGTCCTTGGGGTCGAGCTTTTGGAGTTGGCTCTCGAGCAGCTCAACCTGTTGCTCTAGGTTAGTTAAAACTTTGCCCAATTCCTGTTTGCCTTGTTTCTTGAGCTGTTCCAACATTTCCAGCATCTCTTTCTTAAGTGCCTCCAATTCCTTCATCAACTCATCCTTGTCCTGCTGGCCATCCCTGATGTGTAACCCGTTGGACACTGATGTTAGGAATAAACATGATTTATTAATTATTTATTGTAAATATTAATTGTAAAAAATAATAAGGTAAATTAATATACAATAACAATTGACAACTTTTAAAAAAATAAATTACTTACCGATTACTACCGACAATAAGACCAACGATAGAATTAAGATTTTCATTATTTATTATTATATTGATTGATTTTTATTATTTTATAATGTTTAGTCAACAAATAATTTATTATAATTTTCAAACAAAATATATCCGAGTATTTATACTAAAATTATTCAACCACGTGCTTATTTTTTTAATCCTAATCATTAATTCATACACGTGTATAAATGCGGATGCTTCAAAGTACAATATTTAAACAAATATTATTGATTAAATTTATATATTATTAATTTATATGAATAAATATTTACAAAACAATACATAATAGATATNTCATTAATTCATACACGTGTATAAATGCGGATGCTTCAAAGTACAATATTTAAACAAATATTATTGATTAAATTTATATATTATTAATTTATATGAATAAATATTTACAAAACAATACATAATAGATATCTTAGGAATGTGCCTGATATACTAACTTAATTAATTAATTTGTTTTCCATAACAAACTCAGTGTTGTTGATATAAGTAATATTACGTATATTTATACATTTATAACATAATCAAATTGTTGTTTATGGAAAATTACTTATTATGGCAAAGAGTTATTTGTTTAAATTAAGTGGATTATTATTTGTATTCTGAAATGCAATAAACAATAACAAGAATTTAATCAAGGGAACATTAAATATTTTTATAATTTAATAAATAATCTATTAATTAATACAATTTTGTTACAAATGTATAATTGAAACACAAAATAAAATTAATAATTACACTGTAATTAAAAACATGTTACATATTTATTTATGAACTAAAACTTGGATAAATGTTAACAAACTTCATGATAAAATAAGAATTTTTCAATACTATTTTATTTAGCAATCATAATTATTAAGGGAATTCATATTGTAGATTTAAATAATTATAGCTTTATTAATTAATTGAATTGTTTTTATTTCTAGATAGATTTAATCATAATTAATTTTACAACTTATTATAATTAATACATCACAATTAATGTGGCAATCTTAATTAATTAAGTTTAATTATTAACCTTCCAGGCGCTTGACCTCAGTATCCACATCAATTTTCAACAAATCAGCTTGGCTATCTATCACCGGTAGCACATCTGGCCGGGCATCTACCAACTCAGCCTCTATCACATCAGCATTATGCAATAACTTTCTCAACGTATCGCATTCACCGGAGCGGCCCACCTTGGTCATTATGTTAATCTCGGTATTTATATACGACCTTATCGCGGTCAATTTCTTTCTAATCTCAGCTTCTTCATCATTACGATAGAGGTCAAAACGGTTAAAATCCAGGCGCTTAATCTCAGCCTTCAATGCCTGCATAGCTTTCTGTAGCAAATCCTCAGCCTTTGTAACCAACACTGACTGCGGGTCCAGTTTGCTCAGGGCTTCGGCCCCATTAGTCACCACTGCCTCCAACTTTGCCAACCCGTCGGCCAACGCGTGCTTACCCTCTGACCTGAGCTTTGAAACCAAAGCCAATGCCTTAACTCTGAGTTTAGACGCCTCTATCAACAGCTCGTCGATCACGTGATCGTAAGCGTTAACACCTGTACGCTGGCCGGGCGGCGGCAGCTCCAGGTGCCTGATCTCGTCGTCCACATACTGTTTGAGTAAATCTGTATATTTCTTAAGCGTCTGTATGAGTGCCGGCGACGCATCCGGGGTTACCTCAGCCGCAACCTTATCGGCATCTCGTTTGTAGCCCTCCAGGCGCTTGCCCTCGGCCTCCCGGTGCGCCTGTTTCAGCTTATCAAGCTCAGTTTGAATCGCTTTTTTAATTTCAGCTAGCTTTTTAGTTAGATCGTCAGCCTGGTCGTTTAGGTAGAGGCCGATACGGTTGGACTCCAGGCGCTTAATCTCGTCCATAACATCGATGGCCAACAGTTGTATATTAGTCTGTATTACGGGTAATACATCTGGTGATGGGTCTTGGGCTAAAGCACCCTGGATGTTTGTAGCAGTTTGTTTGAACTTGATCAGTAGGCTGCCCTCCGAGGCTCGACCTGCCATGGTTAGTTTTGTTAGCTCCTGGTCACAATCGGTGATTATGGCAACGGTTTGTTTTTTGAGTTCGTCCAATATGTCTAGTGATCGATCCGGTTGTGATAGCCGGTGTGACTCGGCTGCTAAAATAATAAGCATGGTGTGTGTTAAAAATGTTTATTTGTTTACTAAATGTAATTTGTACAATGCATATTGTATTTGGTTTTATAATAATCAAATAAAAATAATACATTCTTCACGGCTGACCCAAAATTAAATATCATATTATTTTTAGTTATTATAAAATAATAAATAAAAATAAGTTTACAGTTTTACTAAGTATGTTATACATTTTTTGTAAATGACAATTCTATATTATAACAGTAATACATTTATAATTAATTTAGAATAAATTTTTATTTAATAACTAATTAATGTAAAATTATATTAATTATAATTTATAAATTTACATTATTAATTATAGAATTATAACTCACCCAGCGCAAATAGGAAAATAATGACAATTGCAATGACTTTCATTGTATGTGACCTTTATGCTATAATAATAAAATGTTTTAGTACTATAGTATTTAACTAAATATGTGGTTTAATTATTTTTATCATTTAACCCTAGAAGCTTAAACTGGGAGATTAGTCTCCCATTTGCACTTTGAATTTCAATTAAAAATCAACAAAGAGTGCTAGCCAGAATAAAATCCAGAAATGCCTCATAAATAGTTAGATTTATAAATATGTAAAGTTATATAATCATAAATTATACGATTAATTAATTATCATAGTTTAATTAAAGTTTTGGTAATTATTCTCCCAGTTTATGCGCAATTCAACCTTTTTCCTGCAGTATAAATAGTGCTAATCTTTTTGTGCGTCTATTGCACAAACTGGGAGAATAGTCTCCCAGCATTAAACTGCATAAACTGGGAGAATAATCTCCCAGCATAAACAGCACTAAAGCGTGGGATAGTAATCTCCCAGTTTATGCACTAACTGCTGGGAGATTAGTTTCCCAGTTTATTTACAACGTTCATAATTATAGTTTAAGCTTTAAGGGTTAATAAAACTGAATTAACAAAATGCGTAACATACTATGTAAAATTTATTGATGTGAATTGACAATGTGGTAAAATTTATTCGAGATAGATTGTATTTTTTATTTAGAAAAATGATTAACTTAATGATTAAAAGTATTAAATAAGTTTGTTTTTTATCAAAAAATTTATAAAATTAATTTATAGTTTTATAATTTTTATTATACGTTTATTAAATATTAAATAATATATTGTATTTTATATTTAGAATTTTTATATTTAATTTAATGTTTACCATTATTTATTTATAATTAATAAATAAATTTTCCGGTAATAATATAAATGAACTTGAATGAAATAAACCATTAGCAAAGTCAGATAATAATTTAATTTAATCAAACAAAAAACATATCTTATGCAGCTTTAATTTTCTCAACATAACATTTATACTATAAAATAAAAGTAATGGCAAATATAACTGATTGCACAAGATGATTTTGTTCTGGATAATTAATTACATAGAATTAAATACAGTATTAAATTCAGTATTAAATTCAGTAATAAATATTATGAAAAAACATTATTAAACTGGACGAATTAAAATAATCAGTAAACTGTAAAATTGTTATTTATTAAATTCACTTTATTGTTTTATCGCAATTTATTTATCATAGTTAATATTTTTATTAAAATACTATAATTAAGTTAACTATTGTGATTCCAGGCGCTTAATCTCTGCCTCTAAAACATTAATCGCTTTCTTAAGCAAATCCTCAGCCTTTTTAACCAACACTGACTGCGGGTCCAGTTTGCTCAGGGCTTCGGCCCCTTTAGCCACCACTGCCTCCAACTTTGCCAACCCGTCGGCCAACGCGTGCTTACCCTCTGACCGGAGCTTTGAGATCAACGCCAATGCCTTAGCTCTGAGTTTCGACGCCTCTATCAATAGCTCATCAATCACGTGATCGTAACCGTTAACACCTGTATCGACTCCGGGCGGGCCCTCCAGGCGCTTGATCTCCTCCTTAACCTCTATGTCTAACAGTTGTATATCTGATTGTATTACTGGCAACACATCGGGCGACGGATCCTGCGCTAAAAACAGCTGCAGCTGCGCTGCGGTCTGTTTGAACTTGGTCAGTTGAGCGCCCTCCGACGCTCGGCCAGCCTTGGTCAGTTTGGTTAGCTCCTGATCGGTCTCGGTGATTATGGCTACGAGTTGTTTTTTGAGTTCGTCCACTAAGTCCAGTGATGGGTCCGGCAGTGATAGCCGGTGCGACTCGGCTGCTAAAAATGAGCATGGTGGTTGTGGTTAATTAATTTTTTATTTTTTACTCAATGTTATTTTTATGGATCATGATGATTTAATTGTATAAAATATTAAACCAACGGTAGCAATTCGTTCCCAAAATTAAAATGAAAATTATTTTCAGTTATTATTTAATAATAAATAAAAATAATTTTACAGTTTTTTGGAAATATTATATTTTTATGCACTAATTATTAATTATAGTATTAATTTAATAGTTAGTAAATATAAAATAATTATAATTTTAATTTTTACATTAATATATAAGATATTTTAAATTACCCAACGCAAATAGTAAAACAATAGTAATTGTTAGGGTTTTCATCATGTTTTGAAAATTTAAGTTATAATAATTAACTATTTTAATAAATAAAATAATTTGTTAAATACAATGATCGTTTAATAAATCTTAATTATCAAAATGAGCAATTTAACATCCTATTTATATTGCTTAAAACGTTTGAGAACTAACAATATGGTAAAAATAATTTATTAATAAGTCAGATAACATTTGTCTTTTAGTCATATGATTTTTAGTCACATTTATACATAAAATACTGTACATTTATTCTACAAAGTGTAAAAAGTGCACAAAGTGTAAAAATAAATTAACCTTTTTTTTATAATTTTTATAATTATGAATTTTTGATAATTTTTAAATTATATTGTTGTGAATTAACAATAAAATAAAATAATTCACTTTAGAATCTAGATAATATTTCAATTTTATCCTTATCATTTAAAGTCACATACCAACTAAAAATGCACTTGTTTAATACTTATACAAAATACATAATACTTATGTTTAATGTTGAAATAAGTTTACAAAGTAAATTATATTAATACTTTTTAATCAATTAGATGATTTTCAAATAATTACAAGTTTTAATAAATTTAAATTATTCCTTTTTACTATTTGTTCATTTTGGTAATTTAAATAAAACATGATATTTTACAATTAAAATATGGATTAATCTTCGTAAAATTATATTTAAATCTAAATTTCTAACCTGTAAACAATTGAATTTATGCTACATAAAACAAATAAGACAATAGCAGATCAATTTTCCAAACATAATAAAAAAAACTTAAAAATACTTTAAAATTTTTTATTTAAGCATTTTAATTCATTGTCATCATATTTTAAATTAATAATACAACTTAAAAACATTAATTGTTTTCAAAATTTAGACAAGTTTAAAGCAAAATATAAATTATCTAAATAGTTTCATTTAAAATTGAATATTACAATATCAATACTGTATTATTAGCTACAATTTAGCTAATAGATTTAGCTTTAAATAATTTAGCTTTAGATTAAATTATTATTGTTTCAATCGATCAATCTCAGCCTGCAGGTCTTTTTCAACCACCTTTGCCAATTGTTCAAGTTTAGCCAACAATGCCTTGCCTACTGGGGTTTGGGGGTCCAACTTTTCCAACTGTGACTCAATCAGTTCAACTTGCTGTTCCAGTGCCAACAGCACTTTACCCTCCTCTTGTCTGCCCTCCTTTTTCAGGAGTGCCAACACTTCCAGCGCCTCTTTCCTAAGTTTCTCCAACTCTTTCTCTAACTGGTCTCGAGTCTCATCATTGGCCGACACTGACAGGCGTTTGAGTCGATCGATCTCGGCTTTCAGGTCCCGCTCAACCACCTTGGCCAATTGCTCTAACTTAGCTAATAATTGTTTGCCCACCTCGGTCTTAGGGTTCAACTTTTCCAACTGTGACTCAATCAATTCAACTTGTTGCTCCAGTGCTAATAGCGCTTTACCCTCCTCCTGTCGGCCCTCTTTCTTCAACAGCTCGAGCACTTCCAACGCCTCTTTCCTGAGTTTCTCCAACTCCTTCTCGAGCTCGTCCTGAGTCTCATCAGTTGCCGACACTGACAAGCGCTTCAGTCGGTCGATCTCGGCCTTCAGATCAGCTTCAACCACTTTGGCCAATTGCTCTAGTTTGGCCAGCAATTGTTTGCCCACCTCTGTCTTGGGGTTTAGCTTTTCCAACTGTGACTCGATCAATTCAACTTGCTGCTCCAGTGCCAACAGCACTTTACCCTCCTCTTGTCTGCCCTCCTTTTTCAGGAGTGCCAACACTTCCAGCGCTTCTTTCCTGAGTTTCTCCAATTCCTTCTCGAGCTCGTCCTGAGTCTCATCATTAGCTGACACTGACAGGTGCTTAAGTCTGTCGATCTCGGCTTTAAGATCAGCCTCAACCACCTTGGCCAATTGCTCTAGTTTGGCTAGCAATTGCTTACCCACCTCGGTCTTGGGGTTTAGCTTTTCCAACTGTGATTCAATCAATTCAACTTGTTGCTCTAGTGCTAATAGCACTTTCCCCTCCTCCTGTCGGCCCTCTTTCTTCAACAACTCGAGCACTTCCAGCGCCTCTTTGCGGAGTTTTTCCAATTCCTTTTCGAGATCTTGCTGGGCATCCTGGATGTAGAATGCACTGGACACTGTAGTTTAAATAAACATGATCATTAATTTTTATAACATTATATTTTATATAACAAATTAATTACAAGTTATTAAAGTAATAGTAAATACAATTTTTGTTAGAGAGAGAGAGAGA